ACACTGCTCCACCAGTGCACCTCAAAGCAGACATGGAAGGACCACTATCTAATAGGGGTGAGAAGGTAATTGTAGTCCCTGTTTCAGGCTTTGGGGCCAATCCTCAACTGTAGCAAAGATTTTTGTGTAACACCGTTGCCACTGCTGTCTCCTGTCAGCATCACTGCTTCTCCACGATCTCTGGCAGCTGCCGCCCACTCATGTGTCTTTTCTTAATTTGGGTGGCCCTTGATCGACGTACCAACCGTTGGTCGAATTGGCACCGCTTTGTTCTTCACCAAATGCCCCTCGTTGTTGTGACGTGCTGGGATGCTCTGCCTGCGCTCACTGAAGGCTTTTGACATCCTCCCGCCTGAACTCCTCTCTCTGGTTTCTCCCCTTCCCGCGCGCAATGAGCTCCGTTGTCCTGCTCCGTTCCTCACTGTCTGCGCGCGTTGTCGGTGCAAACAGCAACTGGCTGTTAGCAACGGAGCAGGGGGGACCTTTAGCATGTGCTGACTTTCCAGTTTTCCATGACTAAATAAGAAATATTCGTTTCTAGGGGATTCCAGTATTGCTTAAAAAAATAACAACTGGCTGTTACAATATCTGAAGTAGGAATGTTATTTCACAATGTCTGGCCAGGAAACAATATTGCATATTGATATTTTGCTGTTCAGCACTTAAAGTAGCTGTCTGTTCTAACACAGCATATTTGGGGGCAAGACTTCTGAAATAGGCTTAGGCTCCTAGATTTTATTTAGGATCTCAATTTAAGTGGCTTCGTTTTGAGGAAATGCTGAGCCTTTGGCAACTCTTATTGGTTTTAGCTTTTGTCTTTCCTGTTAGAAGTTCTCAACACCTTATTTCAAATCTCTCTATGCAGTGCAGCAACTGCAGATTATTGAGCTCTGTTTCAATAAGCACAAGCAGGGGTAGAGCCAAGTTACTTTTTCAGTCTAAACGCTATCATTTTGTGATATCTGCACAGCAAGCTGGAGAGTTTTCAGAACATATATAAAAATACATTAAAAAAATATAAAAATATTATACAGGCCTAGTGCTGTCACTCAGAGAAACTTCACTGCAGCAAGTAGTTCCTATGATTTAAATGCAATTACGTGCTCGCAGCTGTTGCAGAACTGGGTTCTCAGGACACGGAGCTGCCCCCCCAACCAGCTCCTTTTCCAAACAATCACTTGCATGTTGAATTCCTGAAACCTGAAGCAGCCCCTTTTTCAACATCCAAAATTTTTTAAAAGCAGTGATAGCTGAGATCCTGGGAAAACACAAGTAAACGCTAAGTCTCCGTTTTCCTCTGCATGTGGGGCACTCCCCCCACTCCTCTCGGGGTTCCCAGCGCAGCGGCTGTGGGAGAACCGAGTTGAGACCAGCTCGGTGGCTGCTTCCCCCGACTGATGGCAAGGACAGATGCTGCATTTGTAGAGCAGCGCGGTACAGTGGTTTGGGGGAAGCCTGTGCTGATTAGCAAGTGAGATGGAGAGAGTATCATCAGTAGTGGTCTTCATCTTTCTTGGTAGCTGCTGTATCACCGAGCAGATAAATGAACTGCTGGTGTCAGTGTGTTGCCCAGCACGGTAGTTTCATGGCTAAAGGTGTGCCTGGAGGTGCCTCTCTCCTTAGGCTGTGTGCTGCCATAGTCCCGTTCCCTCCGTCTGGGCTCCTCGGCTGCGGTGCGTGCCTTCCCCGGCCGGCTCCGTTCCGTTCCGTGGCAGGGCTGGCGGCTCCCAGGCAGGCAGTGGTTCCAGAGAGGGGTTTCTCATGGGGAAGCGGCTGCCGCAGCGGGGCACGTGTCTGTTCTGTTGGTCCCTGAAAACACATTTTCATCGCGAGGGCTGTCTGTCTCTGAAAGCAGCTAACGCTCCGTTCCCGTTTTTCCCACTAGGTCATCCTCTTTCAGTACTGACCGCGCAAACTCTTCCTCATCTGCCCATGGCGCTACCAGCACCACTGCCCCTCAGCCGCTGAAACGCAGCGTCCAGCCCAAGGCAACTGTTATCAGTCATGCAGGAGAAACTCAGATCCAGCACTCTCAGTTGTTTCCATTGACCAGCACCTAACATCCACTATATTATTTCTCCAGCGACTCTGTGTATGTGTGTGTTGAGTGCAGAGTTACATTTTTCACTTGTTTCTTGTGGACTTGTAGAATGACCGTGAGTCTCTCCAAGGCAATGCCAGACACAGTCAAAACTAGTGACTCTACTGTGCTTGCAAATCTTGCTCCCAAACCCATGGGAATACGAACAAACCAGAACATGCTGAATCTCAGGGGGGGTCGATGATCACCTCTGAACATAAAGGAAGGAGGAATTTACGTGGTTTGGCCTGATTCTCTTTTTGCACCAGTGAAGCACTGTTGGTTCCCGGACATCCCTCCTTATTTCCACTTGTGAAATCTGAAATGGGCTTTTTTGGCTCAGCAACTCAATATATACGCAGACCTTCCTGAGCCAAACTTGCGGGTAGCTGAGGCTCCACTAAGTGGAAAACATGATGCCAGCTGGAAATAGGCAGTTTTTCTTCCTCCTCAAAGTGCTTTAGAATCACATGCCCTTTGATCACCCTAAGGTAAGTAAATCTTAGTACTTTTCCCCTCATTTTATAGGAGGGGAAACCAAGATGTCCTAAACTGAGAGGAACCGTGGGGGTTGGTGGCAGAGCCAGGTTTAGCACTCCGAAGCTTTAGATCGCTGACTTGTTCTTAGAGCACTGAATATCTCTCTCCTCTCACAGCCATCTGCCAAATCATCTTTGCTTTTTTATTTTACTCTTGTTCTTTATTAACAAGCTACTTTATTTCCTTGGAGTCATATTGGATCACAAATGGGTGATTTCAGAATGTATCTACACAAAACTCTCAGACACTTCATACTCTGGGACTGGGAAATCCTCAATGGAAGCTGACCATAAGTGCGTAGAAACGTTCTGCACTAGTGTGGACCCAAGTTCAGTCAGTGGAAACAGTGGGGTAGAAACTGGAGACCTGTTAAAATGGTGAAAACCGCAGTAAGGCCAGCAGGAACAGTCACCAGCTGAGTGGACAGCAAGGTGATGGCGTATTCCTTTATCTGGCAGCATCGCTCTGATTCCCTCTGCTCTCCTGTTGCCCTCCCTTGCTGGAGTACGGCTGTTGCTCCTGCCAAGTCCTCAGCCCGGGAGGACTGCTGCCGGCGGGACAGGCACCGCAGGGCTCATTGCAACAGCAAAGGAAGTGCTCAGCAGCCTGGCCTCAAATCAGGGAAAAAAAACTCCAAAATGATCTTTCATTGATGGTAATAACAAAAAGTAAACAAGTAACCTTTGCCAGCCCTTCTCAGCTTGCAACAAGCCAAGAGCAGGTCTGTAACGAAACCTTTCTCCACGCAAGCGCACGTGTCTGTCTTGCTGCTAAGTGTCTGTGAGGCCACGTTTCCAAGAATGTGAAAGCCTACTATGAGCCACAGTTAGTGTGTAATATGACTGAACTGTGCCTGAGGAACAGAAGACAGGAATCCATCCGTTACGTAACTTGTTTTTAACGCGAACTGTAGATACATGTGTTTTTCTCTCTGGGAGATCCTGGATCAATCTCCAACATCGGCTGGGTGGGCAGCCATCCCACTGGTTTGGCCAGTCCGTATTGCACACGTGGCAAGCCTTCTCCTGCCCGTGCTCCCGAGCTCTGTGTGACACCGACGGCCGGACACGCGGCCCCAGATAACCGCGAGGCACGCTCGCCGCTCTGACTGCACGGGGAACGGTATACGGAGATGTGGATGTCTCCTGAGGTGGCCACCAAGATCTCTTGGTTTGCGAAGTAACTGCCTACAAGCATGCGTTGATATTTGTTGGGACAAATATATATATACACACACACATATATACCTCTGTGCGTGTGTGTATATACTGAAAAAAAACGAAAACAGAGAGAGAGAGAGAGTGATGGTAATACCTTGGACATTAGGCCAGTATTCTGTCTAGTTACAGCCAGCAGCTAGCAGCTCTGTCCCCAATTCAAAATAACATTTGAAAGGAGAGAGGACATTAAGTCCGCCAAGTAGTATTGTCACCTCCTGACGTGCGAATGACCGCTTCCAGTGCGTAGCCAGTGACAAGGCACCCCGCACACCTGACCTGACTGGAACCAGGGCTGCGGAAATGTCCCCTCAGGGAGGGGACCGGCCACAAGCTGCACCCGTTGCAGTCACTTTTCTCCTGGTCTGTAGCAATGAGCGCAGGACGGGCGTTCCTTTTGTTGACTGTTGGTGGAGCGTTTGTAACCGGGAGGTTGAAGTGGATTGCGTCCACATGCAATAGCCTTGAGATGCTGGTGGTGGTCGGCGGGGTCGCTGGGGCCCGACTTTCTTCTCCATTTGTACTCGCGCATCCTAAAGATCATTTAGTTGTGGAATTAGTGCTATAAACAAATGGGTGGCTATTCCATTTAAGACTGAAGGAGAGACTTCAGGCTGTAACGTGACCTGACATCCCGCAGTACTTGAGATTTCCACAACTGTTTTGTTGAGGGAGAAAATAGTTTGATGCGTTTCTCTTCTGTCTCGGCTGTGCAATGAAAGTGAAACTATAAAATCTGTATCTGCTAAATACCAACTTAGTTACTGATCAAAAAACCCCAAACAACCAAACCCAGTTGCAAAATGTACTGTATAGCAAAGGTTTTGTAACTGATGCCACTGACAGGACCGGAGCGCAAAGCAGAGGCCAAGGGAGCGCAGGTGCTTCTCCAGGGGAGCGACTCACGGCTGCCCGCGGGTGAACTGCCCCGCACAGACTCTGCTCCGGGGCACCTTCCCCCAGAAGTAGCCAGGAGCAGCTTTGGTAATTCAGAAATCAGGCTCTGTTTATATTAAGCCCAAATTGTTTGCAAAAACTGGAAGCAATTCAGCTTGTGCAGTTTTAGAGCTAATTATGTGTATGGAAAATACTCAACTGTACCAAGAATGTAAGAAATCCTCTAATTTATTCAATACATTGTTTCACAACATATTTCACACTGACTGTTGCCACTGAACCAAACCTTATCTCAGGTCATTTGCATTCATCTCCTGTCTGTAGATTAAAAAAAAAAAAAAAAAAATTAAAATCATTCTCATTTTCTTAGTTTATTCAGTAATTGCCAAATGGGTTCTGGTGCAGCAGTGCAGACTCCACGTACTAAACTTTCCCCGTTGCTATTTACAAACCCTTTTGCAGACAAAATCCAAGGAAGATAGCCAGTGAAAGGCTTTTCACTCAAGTTTAATAAGGTAACTAAATATGGCAAGGGTCTGAAAGTGGAATGGTTTACAGTTTTATTAGCAGTTATTTTTTTCAGCTCACGCTGGTTAACCCCAATGCCCGAGCTAAAGGTGCTTACACAACTTACTGGTTGGGACGGGGGAGTGGGAACCAATCCTGCACTACTATCAGTGATATATCTGTAGGATGCCAACTATAGACACATCGGTTTTATTTCATCCGCCAATCATTTTGTTGTAGCATGTTGCAATTCTGCATGTCTTGGCTACAATGGTTAAAAAAAAATTCTCTGAATGAGTGGACAGTCAAGACTAATATTTATTTTAAAAAAGTAAAACTAAATTGTAAGCACTTTTTTGTAAAACCAATGTCTGTTTTGTTACATACTTTTAATGTTGTGCTTTGTAAATGTCTTATTTGTGTAATAAATAAAGTTAATGCAAGTAGAAGTGCTGGCACTTACATCCAGAAAATGATGTAATTCCATTTTATTTTATTTTTAAATACTTTCTGGCTTACTAATCAAGCAGCAACCCACCCAGTTTTCCTCTTTTATTATTTTGTTAAACTCTGGCTTCAGGAGAGTTCAACAAACGTTCGTAGTAAATGGATATAATTTCCTAGTTAGCAAACCAGTCATTAAAGAATACCTCTGGTGTACATTATTACAATGATCAATCAATATCAAAGTACTGAGCAAAAAGAGAGGAAAGGAATTCACCAGGACAGCTAACTAAAATCTGGGAAAATAATGTTGATTAAGATGGATTTGAATGACTTCAAGACTGAATCTGAGGCACTCTTTTTAACAAATTGTTTTCAGGCTTAATAACGTGTATATATAGTACACTACACACCTCTCAGGAATACTATTGTGAGTACAGTCGGCTTTTTTTCCATGGCTGTTTCTCAGCATGACTGATTAAATGATTATTCCCATTTTTGTTTGTGCTGACAAAGATGACAAAAAGATTACATTCCTGTAGAGGGAAAGGGTGAGACAAATCCAGAAGGACAAATTAGATTTATTGTGAGTCAGATTACCTGCTTTGGAATATTATTGTCTAGCAAAAACTGTTTTCATGGTTTTGGTTTATGTTCAATTGTTTCATCCCAAGCTTTCCGGCAGGTCCGAATGATCCATTCATGCTCAACATCGTCTAAAAGGGAGATAAAGAAACACCAAATATTACCATGTCAGATCTGCTCTTTGCATCACTAGGGTCCCGCTCAAACAAGTGATTTTTCCTTTGAGAAATAAATCAATTTTTAGCCATTGGCATCTCTCAGAACGCTTTTTGTTTGTTTCTTTCTTTAAATGATTGTGCACTTTTCTGTTGGAATTTGACAAGGCAGGAGATACTGGAACTGTGGCAATGACTCTGCTTATTTGATAAGATTAGCTTGGGTGAAACTATGAGATTTACAAGTATATATTTTATTTTTTGACTTTTTGGCAGGCGATGTGCAGGAGATATGTTGAAACTATCAGAAATGAAGATACACATTTTTTAAATACTATGTCTGTGTTGCTTGTTGGTTTATGAAAAGCGAAGGTAAAGAAAAATCTATAGTCAAATCGTAGGTTGTCTTCCAGCTTGTCTTTCAGTGCTGTTTTTGAAATGTACGTTATGACAGGTATCGATAAGCTGATACAGTGGCTGA